GGCAGCAGAGTCCCCAGCTGAGTGCCCGGCTGGTAGCACAGCCTGCCCGCCCCCAGCCGCGCGTTCCGGCCCTGTTTGTGCCAGGCCTTTGAGGCTGCCGTTGCAGGCGCTGGCCGTAGAGGCAGGTCGTTCCTCTCCTTAGCTGTTTGCAGTCACCATCACACAAATATGTCTGGTCAGCAGTGCTGTAAAAGAAGTGGGTCCTGTGCTTCTCTTCTGGCTGTTCACCCCCATCTCATGCCTCTGTTTCTTGAGTGCTGCGAGGTTTGTGCGAGGAGCCAGGCCTGCAGAAGGAAAGCTCACTGAGCATAAGAATGAGAAGCTCGCTGCAGAAGATGACTCACTGGATCTGTGAAACCAGAGTCTTATGACTGATGCTGACTTCTTAAACTCATGTTAAATACATCATTTCATAGGATTCCAGCTTTGGGAAACTCAGTTCATAGTGCTGGGAGAAATGTGCTGTTGGAAACATAGCCACAAGCTTTAGAGAGGGCTTCAAACTCAATGGCCTGTCTAGTAGTCTGCTCTTACAACCCAAGTAAACTCATAGCATCCATAATACCCTGTGACAAGGAGCCCTACTACGTGATAGTTGGGGAAAAGCCTCTTTCTGATATTATATAAGTATATTTATATTTGTTTTCTGCTGGTCCTCATGGTGCTACCAGGCTTGCACTGGAGCACACAGCTAACTGTGGTTCTCTCTGTGCCATTCAAGATGCTAAAGATTTTTTTTTGTCTTCCCCTTTCCTCTTTTCAAGGCTTAAAGAATCCAAGTTTACTAGTCCATTACTAGGTCATCCTGTTATATGAATTGATTATAATAGCCATAAGAATAGGTAAAATCTGAGTAGAAAGGAAATTAGGATTTTGAAATTGTAGCTCTCATAACAGGCAAAACCGGTAACGGATGCTCCAGTCTTGAGCTTTTTCCCCCCTGTTATTTAATTCCTGCTCTGCATTTAGCAACTAGTGCCCACTGGTTTTGGAATACTAATTTGCTCTTTCTCTGCGGTGCTGCAGTTCTGACTTGTCACGGCATATACAAAATACAGACCAAAGTCCAATGATAAGGTACTGACACGTGGAACCGTGGAAAAGAGAGAAGAACGTATAAGGAATGACATGCATGAGACTTCATGCTCTCAATAAGTGTTCCTTGACTCTTAAATTTATTACTAAGGTTTTTTTTTTTGTACTGAAGTATTTGTAACTGCAGGGCAGGCTGCCAGCATTGCAGGACTGTATCTTTTCTTCCTTTACACAGTCGTGTTGGGTGTTGGGAAAGGCGCCTGTTCCAGTCTTCGCTTTTGCAGAGTCTTGCTTCTTACGTCCTTGGCAGCAGTTCTTGCTATAATGTAGCTTCTTGGGCGTTTTCCTTGTCCTTTATTTCCCTTCTCCTTTCTTTAGTCAGAGTAAGCACAGGAGTTTCAGTGTGCAGGACAGGAAGAAGCAACAAACAGAAGCAATCAGAAAAAGAAAGCTCACAGCTTTCTTTTCTTACCACGACTGGTACTGGCAAGAATTTAAGATTTGTGCTTAAAATCCCATGAATATCTGTTGCCTGACAGAATTTGAGCTCTCTTTATCCATGCACAGCTTGTCTCAAAGTGTTGGTCCTTACTTAATAAATCTGATGGAGATAAAAATTGTGGATGAAGAAAGAAGAGGAAACTATCTGTATTTTTTCCTACAAATTCCCAGGACTACCTGAATATCTGTTGCCTCCTATCTCATCCATTCTGTTTGCATCGGACCCATTTATTCAGCCTTGTTTTTTTTTTCTTTTTTTGTTAGGAAGCTGGTTCTAGTAATATGTTTTCCCTACCACTAAATAATCTAATGAAAGCTTTCAGAATTGGAAAATCATTCCATTATAAATGAGTGTATAGAAAGCATGGTTCTTATTTCTGTGCTTTTTGATTCTTATTCTGTTTCATCTCAGCAGAAGGTTTGCACAAAGCTGACTACAACTAAAAGATGAGGGAAATAAGATTTACTGTGAATGAAGAAAGAACAGTTTAATATAAAAACATGGTTTGAGATAGAGCCTGGCTTTGCCAAGCTCCTGCGGTTTGGTCCGTTCTGTTTGGCACTGTTATCCTCTGATAAACAAATGCCTGAGTTTAAGCTGAATTTGTGCGCTCTGAAAAGGAGTCCAGAGGCTTTGCATTGTCTCTAATGTGGGAGTCTTTTTTTTTTTTCCCACCTCCCTCTTTTTCTTATCAAAGAAGAACAGCAATTAAAACCAGAAAAAAAATCCTGTGTATCCCTCTCCAGAGCGGGACTATCAAAGTTGTAACAGGCTGTTTTGCAGCACAGTCTCCGTGATCACAGAGATGATGATGATGATGATGATGATGATGATGAAGAACAGACCTGACAGATCAGCAGCTCAGTGGGGTGGGCGGCTGAGGCCAAGTCTGGCCCCGGCCTTGTTTCCCCCCCTTTCCCTGGGGCAGTTCTGCCCGGCACAGTAACCTACTTCAGCCTTACTGGGCTGCATGGAGAATCTCACACAAATATGATTAAAATGAAACAGAACATTTAAGACAGATTTGTTGGTAGATGAACTGTTGGATTCATGTTATACCCCTAGGCATTGCTTGATAATTATGTTTTCTTTTTATTGGTATTTGAAGGCAATTATATGCTCTGGTGAACTATGGGAAAAAAATCATTGAAGTTTTGGAAGCTTTATTTTTTTTTTCTTTTCTGTATCAGACAGCAGGAAGGCTCCAGCCAGACAGGGGGTGTTTTAGCTCAAGTCAGAGCCCTAATTTACCAGCAGCAGGTGGTTGTTAGGGGTCCCGTGACAGAAGGAAGGGGAATAAACCCCCTGGAAGGCCCTGCTCCACCAGCAGCCAGCGCGCGATTCCCGGCTCCTGCCTGGAGCAGGCCCAGCCCTTAGGCCGGAATTCAGCTGAACCGAAGTCTTCCTCCATCTACTGCTTATTGTCCTGCCTACTGGGCCATCAGGCAAATAAACCATGTCCATTCCTTTCCTGGTGCAATGCCCACCTGCCCCATTAGACAATAATTTTCCTTTTGTCAGAATAAGCTTTTTAGACCAGGAACTATACGTAGATGCGGTAGTGCCTAATTAGTGCTAATTAGCTTTAATGTACACCTGAAGAACAAGGTGATCAGCCTCTCTGCCAAAGGTTTTCTGCCCTAACACAGACGTCTACATCCCAAATGCGCCTGCTTCCACGCTCAGTGTGGGCAGACGGGATTGCTCCTGAAGGCCTCTTCTGTAACCTCTAGTCCAAACCACCGTAGTCTCTTTTCTTTTTTTCTTCTGTTCTTTTTCATCCTAAGTTTCTCACGTTTAAGAAGTTGTTCTCTCTTCAGACATGATTTTGGGATTATGATCGTCCCTGCTGGTCAGTTCTAAATTGGATCACAGTTAACTTTTGAGCTGAGGAGGTCAGAATTGTATGTGGAATGCAAAATACAGGTACACCATGGAAACTCCTGCAGGGTAGTAATGCACTTTTCCTCTTCTTCCTCTGAGTTCCAAACTCCCTTTGCTTTTTGGGTTGTGTGTGGGTTGAGCTGCCCCTGTTGGAGAGCTGCTACAGTGCCCCCCTCCTACTCTCCGCGAAACCTTGACACTTGCTGCTGAGTCTGGATTTCAGTTTGTTGGGGGGTTCCAGTGTGTGCTGCTTTGAATGTCGCCTTTCACATCACCCTGTGGTCACTGCTGTGACTGTCCTACAGGTCTCTGTCATTCGCTTTTGTCTCTGCTACCCTCCACACTTTGCCAGATCTCCCTCTGGTGCTTCCTCCTCCTTGTCCCAGGTGGCATCTGGATACACTGAGCCCTAGCACTTCTGTCACAGCCTCTGTAACCTCTTCCAGTGTGAGAGTTAATTGCTTGGTTTTAATCTTCATTTTTTTGTGGTCTCCCCCCTAATCTCTTATCCAGCTCTTTGTGTGTGGTGGGACATTCCCTTTTATCTCTTGACTGCTTAGTTTCTCTGAAAGGCTGGGACTCCCACTGAAAGCTTTTGAAGCTTGAGTGGTGGTTTTGTAGGCCACATCCTTGTTCTTTGCTCACTTGCCAGTTCCTTCTAGTTCCACTTGTGTTTTTTTTTTTTTTTTTTTTTTTTTTTTTTAAAGATGCTTTTTTGTTCTGGTGACTCCACTGAGATCTAAATTCGTGTCTCTGAAGGCAGAGGCGTAATGCTTTACACCCAGTCCTGAAAATAGAGGCCTGGCTGCACAGGAATATTTATGTAAGAGTTACTTAACAAAGTCGGTTGTAGTTTATGAAGCAGAAGGTGCTGTTTATTTTAAACAAATGTGATTTCAGTCTAATTCTGGTTAGGCTGAGACTAAAATTCTGTTTGTCACGGGTTCACTGGGCTTTCAGTCTCGTCCGGTCTCTCCCCAGGCTCCCAAGCACCAGGACGTGCGTCCAGCTGGGCCGGGCCCTGGCCTGCACCCCAAGGGACAAGGAGGCCTTGCTGGGTCTCCTCTGTGCCCAGTGGGTTTGCCTTGATTTGCAGGAATGGTTTGGGGGCCGCTCCTGGCTGGTTCCCATCCTTGTTTTCAGAACTGGCGAAATTGCTGCCAGGTCACGGGTCTTCGGCGAGGCGCAGCCTTCTGCTGTTGGTGGAAGCAGCAGAATCCTTTCACTGACTGTTCTGCTGGAGATGACTGGCCCTCGTGCTAGGCTGCTCCTCTAGCCTTCCCTCTGCAGGGCCGCTTTTTGTTATAATACCTGTTTCTATAATACCTGTTGCTATATGATAGAAAAGGTCAAAATAGGCACTTGTAGCTGAAGGCTTAAACATTTGAAAAGAGAAGCGATGTGATGTTTGGGGAGGGGCGGGTTATGCGCATGTGTGTGTGTGTTTTTCCTTCCCGTAGCAGGTTAGAATTTAACATTTCCCATTTATTGAAGCACGGGAATGACTGGAAAGCTGAACTTGCATGGTCTGCTCTGCACTGCCTCTTAGACTTCCTTCCAAGCGAGATTTCTACTTGCTTCATCTCCTCGAAGTCAGAGAGGTATCGTGCTATCCTTTCATGTATCCTTCCCTAATAGGGGACTGGATAGGCAACCTAATTTAATCCTCTAAATAACCATGAGCAACTAAACACAAATCCTCTCTTTCCACTGTATCTTGTATGTCATCTGTCAGGGACACCTAGATAATTCTTTATCTGGGTTTCCCTAACATCTTCCCTAACATCCCCTAACATTCCCTAACATTTTTTCCTGACACTGCTCCCTACCAGGTTCCTATTTTTTTGTCGTTTTAATTCTAGACCATTAAGTTATCATTATTGGGCTATTTTGAATTCTGGGATATACCACTGTCAGCTGCTTTGTGAAAACTCCCATCTTTGTCTAGGGAAGGCAAATATGTATGTTTAGCTGAACTTACCTGCCTTCAGATGCTCAGTGGAGCTCAGGCTGATGTACAGAAAAGAGCTGGTGATCCCTATTGGATGCTGCATTTGTTGTGATCCTCAGGATGGCACCTGAGTGGGGCACAGCAACGCATCGTAAGAACAAGGATACACAGAGTGCCATTTTATTTCTTTCTTTATTAATAGCACTAAAATTCCATGAGATCAAGAGAGGTTCTCCTAAGCTTAAATCCAGAACCCAGAGAAACTTTTTCTGCAGTTACAAACGCTGTTTTGAGAACATGTTAATTCCCTGTCATTAGACGTTTTTTCCTAAAAGTGTTAAACCAGCTTGCAGTGGTTCTCATGACAAGTGAGACGGGGCCTCGTTTAACTTTGCAGCTCAGTCATAAGGACCTTGTAATGACTTTTGTGCATCTCCAGGCAGATGATGCCGCCTTGGGAACATAGTGACACCTTCCATGTCTTCCTTAGGGAAATTTGAACATAAAGGTTAGCATCTTCACCTGGCAGGATTTTAGAAGACTCACATCACAGTTTAAGCCTAAGTATAGGGTTGTTGTGCAGTTTTTCTTCTTGCTGTCCACTGTGTATGCTTTGGAAAACTGATGTAGTGAGAAATGCCGTGATTTTTTTGATGCAGGGAGGAGAAGCACCCATGGAGCTCGAGTATTGGCATCAGCATTTTATAGTGTGAAGGGGAATGCTGACAGCAGCCTTCTGTTCAGATGACGATCTCCAGTTTTAATCATTTCTTGTGAGAACATCCTGTTTTATAATTGTGTGTTTTCCTGATACCTCTTGCACTGCTCTAATAGCTGTTAACGGGACTTGATCACTAGGCTTTGCTAGCATGTCTTCCTTCGGAAGGCCTCATTACTTTTCCTCATTAACTCTCTGTAGCTTCAACCATGGTCTTTCCACATACAAGATTGCAGTTTAGGTTATTAGACTTTCTAGCAATCGATATTTGGAGGGCAAGGTTTTTGGGGTTTTTTTTAATGACTTAACGTTTCCTCTTCCATTTCAAGGAGCTTTAAACCTGTGCTGCTTTCTAACACCACCTTGAGCCATCTGAGTAGAGTGAAAAAATGGTGTTCAGGCAAGGTAGGGGAGGGAGCACAGTCTGAGTTGCTTCATGCTGAGTACTTTCAGATCCATTTTTCACATATTTCTTAGGCTCTGGATAAATCTTTCCATTTGCTTATCCATTTGCTCATCCATTTGCTCTGGATGGATCCAGTGTTGTTACTAAAAAGTGACTAGAGCAGGATAATACAGAAATTGAACACAATTCATATGCCAGAAAATGTATTTATTTCTTCCCAAACACCATTTCCCTATTCAAAACATTAACATTTGGCTAAACAATATTTTTTCAAGTGAACAAAGTAATATAATTTTTTTTTAGCTACTTTTCTACAAGCACAGTTGCTTTTCTGTTTAATTTGAAAACAGAATACCACTTTCAGCATTATTGACATGATTACTTTTCTAACTGCTTGTTTAAAGGTTTCCAAAAAAACTGCAGTCTCTCATTTTCTAATTATTAAATTTTCTTAAATTTTCTTATTTACATCTGCAGATAATTTGTTAAACTGTACAGGGTAATTGGGAACATATGGCAGGTCTTCTCTTCACGGTAGCGTCAAAGTAAAACCGCCCCCACCATAATAACCTTGAAAAGCTTCAGTGGTCTCAGTATTTAAAGACGTTTTAAGAGATTTTTTTTCAATGTATATCTCATGATTGGATTTGAGAGCTATTTAAGTTCATCTTATTAATTACACTCTTTTTGAAAGATGTGACATCTTTTAAATTCTCTATTTTTCTGCTGCTAGAGGTATGAATTTATGTCCACAAACTAGCCAGAGTTCATTAATTTTTCAATCCTCTGGAAGCCTTTGATATTGCCTGTTCTTAAGGTAGAAACAAGGCAACTATGGCCAACAATTTGGAAATAAATACAACAAAATGCTAACTCTTAATATAATTTAGCACATACAGTTTTGTTTATATATGTACAAGATTAGAGTCATAACATTTGAGATCCAATAAATTATTTTCTTAAAAGCTCTTAGCCTCCTTGTCTAAAATGGTATGCATGGCTTTTAAAATAGTTAACATTAGGAACACTTTAATTCTTGTTTGCTATGACATTATTGAAACAACTCTGTTATGAAGATGCATTATATGCAGTATATTTGCACATAAAACAACTTAGATATAATTCACTAAAATGAAAGAATGAAAAGTCCAAGCTCTTCCACCCCGGAATCTCTGTCCAGATGTACAAACTACAGGACATTTATAGGAACCTGTATAGGAGGTACCTGCGCCAGACAACCACCTGCTGCCAGTGACGGGTTCTAGTCAGTCCATGCAGGTAAAGGGTTGGGGCAAGGGCACAGCTGGCCCGTGCGGGTGCAGGAGGGTGTCTCTGAGGAGAAGGGAACCCGAGGGAGAAATTAAAACACAAAATGGGCTAAAACAGGAGAGTCTGCACAGCACTGGCTCTGCCATTTTTAACTCCGGCATCTAAATGAGAGAATCTGAATCAGTGCTCAGTGTGTCTCATCCTGGCATTCAGGCTTCCTAATTTTAGATTTCTGCTGCTTCAAATGAAAACCTTCTGGATGCCGTGTGGGGGAAGCTGAGACATCAGTTTTTAAAGCGTGTGGGCATTTAAAGCTGCCTCCTCTGGGTGATTTCAAATGGAAAGGATAGCTGCTCATTAGGTTCAGGTGCCCCTTTATCTAGAGGGGGTCCTTGGCCCCAAGGACTTCTCATAAATCATATCACAAAAATACTTACCATAAATACATATCATAAAATAAGACATATTGTTTGATGCTCATTTGTTGCATTCCTGTCGTTCAAGGGCTGCTTAGAAAGTGGGCCACTTGCATGAAAGTCATTAAGCATTACCTGCTGTGAGCAGAACAGATGCTGCTGCCTTAACCGCTGCGTCGATGCTGCATGCAGTCTTATCCTGCAGGGTTTTCAAAGTATTGGAAAACAATTTTCACAGTTTAATACTTTGAACAAAATTCTACATTGGGATTTTTTTTTTTTTTTGGCAGTGGTGAACTAAAATTAGATCACTGTTCCAAACTGGAGATTAATTTTTGATATGATTCCTATTTAGAGTTATTTTAATTCATATAGGCACAATAATAAGATACACTGCATGAAATAAATGTATTGTAGCAGTTTGTCTTGCCTTATGCTTTATTATTAAAGGAGGGAGTTAGTGCTGTCTGTTGTTAAAGCTGTTTGACTTTACTGTTTGCTCCAAATGCTTCGAAAAACTTCAGGCAAAGTCTTTCAGGCACCTATGAGGACAGAGGACAAGATGTTACAAACCAAACAGCTTGTCTTATTTAACAACTTCTGCTTTTTGGCTAAGGCAGCCTTTGCCAACTTCATAAAAATATGTCTGTTATTGGCTAGGTTGAAGACCTTTCCATACCTTTCAGCTTGCCCACTGTCAGCAGTAACTCATTAGCTGTATTAAGAAAAGAAGACATACTGTATCTGCCCTGAGTGCAGAGCAGACCCTCGCAGGTGTCTGAGGAGGCCACTTCTGTAGTAGCAAGTTCCTGGGGCCGTGCAAATCTGGGACTTGGCAAAGGAGTGGGTGAAAGGGCTGGAAGGAAGGATGTTTCCCCTTGCGCCGCGCGCGCTGCCTGTTGGACAGGGGTGAAAAGCTAATGATGCGGGGGAACAAGAACAGTGGAGAGGGGGATTTGCAGCTGAGAGGAACTGTGGAGCTGAGGCAGCTAGGAGTGGGAATTGCAGGTGGAGAAGGGGATGGTCCCTTCCTCATCCAGCGGTGCAACGGGGCTGTCCTGGCACTGCCTGGGACTGCATCCTCCAGGGCAGGCTGGCGCCTCTGTGTAACACTGCGGGACACCTCCATGTCCCACATGGTGGCCACTTGGTAAGGATTTTTGTGAGGAAACGAGTTCAAAGTGTCTCATATAACACCAAGATTAAGCCTTGTAGGATGTTCTCTACTCGTCGTGTGTATTGGGTTGTGCATATTGTGTGTCCTGGGAAGCTTGAGGACATTTCTGAGAGTTCAAGAGCTGCCTTTGGATGGTGTTGGGAGGCTGCCTAATGAACCCAAACCACTGCAGCCTTAGGCTAAACCTAATGCTATTGCGAATGGGCCAAGAATAAAGTACTATTATTTTTGGAAGCCGAGTTGGAGTGACCTGCGAGAGCCAAGGCGGAGGCTGCCAACCAGTATGGGTGATGGGGCAGTTTGGAGCTTGCGCTCCTGCTCTGGCCTCTTCTGCGGGAATGTCCTTCCTTCAAAATGAAAGAACTAGAAAGCTGAGGCCTGAGTAGGGGCAAGCATGAGAGCAGGTTAAGGATCCTGTGCTGTAAGAAAAGGAGAAATAGAGAGGTACAAGAAGGGTTCCTGAACTGTGCAGAAAGGCATCTACTGTGTCAAGGCTGATGCCAAAGCTTCGGAGCTGCCGTTTTGCTGCTGTGTAATCCCCTGCAAAGCACATGTTTTCTCTCCTGGTGTTCCTGCACAGAAAGAAATTCCCTTCTTGCAGTTCCTCCTCTTTACATCACTAGAGAGGTTTGCAGTAACCGACATTATTTATAATAGTGCTGTT